AGTAATTGAGATTTGAAAAATTAGGATTAATTTCAAAAATGAACAATAGTACTCTGCATTAACAGTCTGCTTTTGAGGTATACTGTGCCATCCGACTTGTGTAAATGAAAGTAACCATATCTTGCATTGGTGGAATTTTCCTGAATTTTTTTTTTATGGTAATGCATAATGATATCATTTCCTTTTCACTTAGCATTTTGGTTTCTATGGTTTCGTCTCAGCCCATAGAATGACATTGAGAGAAATTGTCAAGTAAACAGAACTTCCTAACAGTTGGCTATAGGAAATTAAACTGAAGAAATGACAGCGCTGAAATTGTTCACAAATCTCTTATTATATCACATATATGGAGTCAAACAAGTTACACAAACCTGATTTATATGAAGGAATTTTTCCCATCCAATTTTGATAGACTTTTTTTTTTTTTTATAGAGCTATGGAAATTTCCAGATGCATAAAAATCAGATGTAACAATTTTGTAAATATCTTGGACTGAAAATATATCATATTATAATGTATAAAGTAATGTAGTTTTTTTTCTTTTTCACGTTTGATCGCAAACGTTGCTAGATTTTAGTTTCCAGATTGCTGATTGATTTGTAAAATAATATCACACAACAATCTTACGACGGGGGTGTGATATCTGGCGACTGTTTGGGCATCAACAGAGCATGCTTGGCGCAGGTAGCTCTTCTTCGAGAGGGTTAATGATTTATTAGGAGTTGCATGTTGCCCGGAAGAGGAAGGTAGTAGATTGTACTATGCGGTAGGAGCGACGTACTGCTCTGAGTAACTATTATATTATGCTTTGAATTATATATTTAATAAATGTTTGTTTCGTCTTGCTAAATGGTGCCTTATTAAACCATGAAGTCATCACAGTAGCTGATTGAGAATTTTCACCATATTCTTAAAGCATCATTAAAGACCTGCCTGAAAAAAATCACTGCCAAATTAGAGTATGCCACAACAATAAGACTTAACTTCTTTGAACTGATATTAAGCTAATCCCAATGTTTCCGGATTTTGAAGAGAACATGTACAACTGAAAAACTTAAGAGCTGTCAGAAACCATGAAGATATTTTTATGCCTCAGAAACTTTTATGCTGCACAGATGTTTTCATGAGGCATGATGCGATGAAATCACCCTAAGGCCAACATATGATAACATATAGTGTATTACAAAGCACACACGAAACTGCCAAAGTGCAACCTGCACAGAACAAGATGTCAGTTGTCTAAATTGAGCAAAGCCTTCATTTCTTCTTGCCGGGAACAATAAGAGCTTGAAAGCAATGACAAAGAACACTATCAAGTCTTCACCAAACTTCTGTGAATCTGAACAATCATAAGAAGTTCTAAATCAGACAAAATCAGGCAGGTATGTCCCTTTTCTTGTAACTTGATTATCATACATATATGAGCCAGATTTGCAATCTGTTCAGATGTTGATAATTTCCCCGTGTGTGCACGGATATGTGCAATAATATTTTTCATCAATCTTTTTATTATTACTTTATTTTGATATAGCTGAATCTCACTATAATGAACTTCAAAGGATCACAAATTTGCTTCGCCATATCCAACCTGATAAGGAAAAAAATTATCATATCACAAAATAGGGTAAAAATAAATAATCATGCAGGAAAAGTGATTAGCATTGTCACATCTCCCAAAAAATGTTCATGATAAATTTTAAATTAAAAAATAAGCATTAAATGTTAATTAGAATTATTATTACATGCAATTACTAAAGTTCTGCCTTTCTTTTCAGTTTCCTTATATGCTAACAATTTTAGACAAAAAAGTACTTATGGTTTAGACCCATCCCTTTAATTACATATTTTTATCTAAAATACTCTTTTACATTTATGAACTAACATCAGCCTTGAACAGGGGGCTGTCTGGCAGCTCAGTAAAAGAACTCAATTGGAATCAAAGAACCAATTCAAGTTCTTGTCTCAATGGATCAGCAGTTCTTAGGCTCAAGGGATGGCACAGTAGGATCTTGAAGTTATGTTTATTGTGTATCATATTTGCAAAGAACTGAATTCTATAGCCAAAGTTATTATGCTTCAAGGTTTGGTCTTCTCAATGAAGGTCAACCAGCATGATGTTAACATATGGCTCGAAAGCAAGGTCTCTCACACTTCTATGAGTAAACTTACATCACTGAGCAGGCAGATAAAATATGTCACTGTCTTGAGGTTTAGAAAGAGAAAAGTTTGATCAAGAAACAGAATAACCTTGTCTATTTATATTGACCTTGCCTCACACAATCTTTTCTTTAGAACACAGAAAAAGGTGAAGGTAAAAAAAAAAAGAGAAAAGTTATCGAATGGTGTTTTTTTGTTATTCTAATAGCCTGAATAGGATGAATTGTTAATTTTTCAACTGAAAGCTGCAGAAACATTTGAAAAATATGATATATTTTCAGTCCAAGATATTTACAAAATTTGTTACATCTGATTTTTATGCATCTGGAAATTTGCCATAGCTCTATAAAAAAAAAAAAATTAAGTCTATACAAAATTGGATGGGAAAAATTCCTTCATTATAAATCAGGTTTGTTGTAACTTGGTTTGACTCCATATATGTGATATAATAAAGAGATTTGTGAACAATTTTCAGCTGTCATTTCTTCAGTTATAATTTCCTATAGCCAACTGTTAGGAAGTTCTGTTTACTTGACAATTTCTCCTCAATATCATTCTATGGGCTGAGACGAAACCATAGAAACCAAAATGCTAAGTGAAAAGGAAATGATATCATTATGCATTACCATAAAAAATAAAAATTCAGGAAAATTCCACCAATGCAAAGATAATGGTTACTTTCATTTACAAGTCTGATGGCACAGTATACCTCAAAAGCAGACTGTTAATGCACAGTACTATTGTTCATTTTTGGAAATTAATTTGCAATCAATATTGCAAAAGAAGCAGTGACACTGTCTGCACATTACTACATTTTGCAGTAAAATGCCCAAGTGAAAATAATGTAGTCTGTAAGTGATTTGTTTGTTCATTTGATAGGAGTGAGAAATGCTTTACTAACCATTACTCCCTTTAAAATTAGCCCCTCATGATTCCTAAGATTATGTTTGATTAAGACAAATAAACTACTTTGTTGCATTCATTTTTGAGCTGCTGTTCGGGAAATAAACTATCCGAGTTGAATTATTAACAGAAGAAGCATTGTTCACATTGATGGCAATGAGCAGCAAACTGAGCTGATTACATCAAAGAATACATAAAAGTTCACATAGGAATCATTCTTTTGTGTGTATGTCATAAATAAAAGGTTATCACTTTTGAAATTCCAACATTTGTTATACTGTCACAAAATACAGAATAATTATATATAATTCATTGAGTTTTAAAACACTGTATTTAAAAAAAATGAAACATGGAACAATAAATAATACATGAAAATAAACATCAAATACACGATTTTAAGTTTATATAATCTAATATTTTCAATGTTGCTTCTTGTCATCACACAACCCCATAGTTGCCAACCTTAAAACCTTACAAACCAGTAAAAACTGTTAGGTTTTCCTGCTGTACAATGATACCACTTCAAAGACCTCCAAAATTGACTTTATTTAATGCATGATTCAAGTTACTGAACTATTTGTAATTCAACTGTGATGTAAAACATATTAACTAATTGAATATTCTAAATTTTATATTCTTTGGGTAATTTCATTTTTTAATTTTTTTATACTTTTATATTGAGAAAATCATGAGTAGTGAAAGAAAGTTTTTGTTCATTGAAGTATTTTTAAATATAATGAAAATAAAATTAATAATTTATGTACAAATTATTTGGGTGGATAAACTTCAAATTGATCAAACTTTTCAATTGTCATACACAAATTTACAAATACCTACAGTAGATTAAACAACTCAGAATGAAATTTAATAAGAAGAATGAAATGCAATAAGAAAAAATATTAATTTTATTATTATTTATTTTACCTTATTTAAATAAGAAAAATATTTATTAATATTTTTAAAATATTTAAAGTTTAATAAAAAAAGCTATTCTGAAAATCATTAGAAGTAGGGAATTTGGCTAATTGAAGTTTCCTTAATTCACTAAATTTCATATATTGCTAAGAAATATTTTCCTTAGTAAAACTAAAAATTAAAAACTGGAAGACTTAACGATCTACAAGAGATGGGAGATGGGATAAAAACTGGGAGAGTTGGCTGTTATGCAACAGATGCCTATACAATATTTCAATTGAGTCCACACCTGTGTTATCATCTTTCTACTTGTGAACATTGTACAGTAATAAGGGATAAATATATATGTAACAAGGGAAATACTTATATTCTAAAACAGAATGCTTTATGCTGCACAGATGACATTTTGAAAATGCAACAGCTTGTACTGATGCCTAGCAGCTAACTTCAAAAACTGAGATTTAAACTTGGAAATTTAATATTTACTTTTGTATATAATTTACTATTTCTTGTACAATATTTTTGAAATAGTATTTTAAAACCTGATGAATCATTTATAATCCTCTTGTATTGTTAAGCGTACAGAAGGCTTGAGAGTTTGTGGGATATTTATATACACATTTTTAAGGAGAATTTTTGAGGCATTATGTATACATCTCCACAAACTATACTTATATTGTACTGCCAAATGCACATATAATGGTTTGGACAGCTGAGGATTTAAAGCAATAAATATGCAGAATTTAGTTTCAGGAACAACAAGAAAATTTCCATTTATTGAATACAAATAACTGAATAATTTATGCAGTATTTTATTATATAGAAGACGGATTATTCATGGTGATGGATAATTCACCTATTTTATATAGGTGAATTACAGGATTGTTTAAGAAGAAAATCTAAGTGAAGCAGAAAAGTACAATATGCAAACACCTAAAAATAAAACAGTTATATACATTTAAATTAGATGTCAGTATGATTTTTAAATATTTTAAATGATTCAATTACAAATAAATACATCTTACCCAGGAGTTGAAAACTGTGAATGAGTGCTAGCAATAGTTATGTCGCATGATGCAATTAATTGGCAACCAGCTGCTGCTGCTAAACCTATTAAAATATGAATAGCAAACAATCGATTGTTTAATATATAAAAACCAGATTAAATAATACAACACTTAATATAAAAAAATTAACACATTCTCTTAACATAATCAAATATTCTCTATTTGACAGTTTTACAAATGCGAAAACTGCCCACCAGCGGCAAGCGATAAAGTCGCGGAACATTGGTAGTTTGGTCTGGGGTTCAAAATCCCAGCAAACGAGCTGGCTGCATGGGTGTTTTCGTGGTTTTCCCCATATGTGTATACAAGTCAGTTCCCCTTAAGAAATCCTCCATGAAGATATCTGTCCTTTTAGGCAGATAGCCCTCAAGTGCTTTGCAATAATCATAAACCTAAACAAATGCCAAAAATCCTAAGATACTTGTCCAAAAATCCTTGTGTTCAAAAACAGGGATGGCCAAATAGTATCTTTGATTCATATCTTGACTAGCAATTTATTTATTGTGTCTCACATTTATTATTCTTATTTCAGTCCAACTTTTGAATACCCAGGAAAGGGCTGTCTGCATGGATGTTTTTGTGATTTTTTATGCATGTATGCAGTATCTTCTGGATGCAAACGAGAATAAAGCAGGCGAAGCCCATGCAAATCCTCTGAACACTGGTAGTTCGGTCCAACTTTCGAATACCCCGGAGGCATCCATCCCCTGAGGTAGCGGGCTTGCCTGCTAGTTATTCTTATTTTATGTCATAATTTTTATTATATAGTTTGTTGGAGGATTAGTATGCCTGTAAAATGCTTCTTATCTTTAACCAGACTTTTCAAACTTCCAAGCTTCTAGCATAGTATAGAAATCAAGAGAAGATTCATAACTGGTCAAGCTTGAGAGTTTTGAGAGAATTACGCATTGGCGCCATTAGAATGGAAGTCCGACTATCTTGGTCAATACAGTGGTTAGTGATGTTGGTTGTCTTTTTGAGGGCCTCAGTTAAAATCCTGTATTTCTGTTTTTGAATGAGATCGTAACTCAAGCCGGATCATAGAAAGGTGTGCTATTTAAATTTGTGTCCTTAATTTTGTCATTCTGTATATTTATTAGTTTTTTAAGCTCTTTATCATTTATTTAATTTTAATTACTCATTATTTTATTCGTTTGTTTTATTCATCTTCCCCGAGAGCAATCCATAAAGCTCTGGTACTTTTAATTTTATTAATTAAGCTCTGTTTTTAAGTACAGGTAAAACCCTCATATAACACGGTAGATAGGTTCCTAGAAAATATACCATGTTGTGTGAAACCGTGTTGTACGAGACCCAGGGCCAGTATAAAAAGCGGGATTACGTTCCAAAAACTTATCAGAAACATATATTTTTAAAAAATTCTACATAAACAACTTAATTTTTATTAAACATATATATGTCATATTAAAAGCAAAGGAAAAAACGGAACACTGTAGATGCGTGATTAGACCCACATTGAAGAAGAATTTTGATTGCGTAGTATTTAAAGAACTTGGCAGTCGAGGCAGTTTTAATTCCATTTTTATTTCCAGTTGATATTTGTGGCCACAATCACTTGTCACTCTAGTCGTGCCTTTCCACAGAAGATTTACATTTTTGATATTGTTGGGATAGAAAGCAAGCCAGCGAAATTACATCTTAGCACAGTAGAGAGCAAAAGCTGAAGTGCGTAGTTATGAAAGATGGAAGCACGCGACGAAAAAAGTTTTGGTTTACAATTCGGTGATTGGTCGTCAAGAGGCATCTGGTATTAATGGTTACGTAAGATCGCATGATTAATTTGAATGACGCAATGCAGAGAAGTTATTCATATAATTTTATCTTACATATTCCCCCCTTCAAAAAGAAAAAGGCAAAGCAAATTCAATATTCCTTTTCACTACGCATTCGAACTTCTCAATTTATCGAGAGATTACTTTCAATCTGTAAACACTACGAGTGATTATTTTTTTGAAGCACTTGCAAAACACCACAGCAGAAGAATGACCTGTTATTTTTTAAACACTGAAAAAACAAACTTGATGATTCACTTCTTTCACATTATCTTGGATTTATCACAAAACGATGATTTGAAGAGCTGAATTAAATTTTCCATTGAGGTTTCAGGCTGCAGGAAACTATCCTGCCAGCTTAATTGTCATGAAACTGTGGTTTGAAGGTGGCAGAGTGGAAAGCATGATGACGCAATTTAGCACAACATATCTTGAAAAATCACAATCTTTATTTTTTCCATGCATATCAAATAATCCTTTTTCAGATAAGATATTTCTTAATAATATTTGAATAGAATAACTCCCATTTTGAAGTACGACGTTATCTAAAGCAAGTAAGCGGCAGCAGCATGGATGCAAAGCTTCTTAGCAGCAGGAGGCATCTGGTATTAACGGTTATGTAAGATCGCATGATTAATTTGAATGACGCAATGCAGAGAAGTTATTACGATTTTAAAATAGAGAGGAAGAATTAATGTTTATAGTTATATTATAATTCTGATTCATATAATTTTATCTTACATATATGTATCTACAACATAAAATAAAAAATATTACATATTTTAATTTAATGCAACTTTAGTTTAATAAATTTCTTCATTATTACTGCTCGGTATAATCAACCGAGAATGTTTTTTCGGTAGAATGAGATCGCTTTTACTTTCATAATTTCTTTCTTCTTTTAAAGTTCTGGCATTTTCTTCCCCTCTTTAAAAAATCTGTGATTTTACTTTGCTTACTAGTTCTTACCGGGTCAGTGTAAATTTCTCGATATGGAGCTAGACAGTTTTGCAACTCCCTTTTGAATTTTCGGCTTATTTAAACTGAAGGTTCTGCAGTCAAGAAAAATGATTCGAGATTTTCAACTAAGCTTAGGCCTTCTTTTAATTTTTTTGAATGTTAAATTATTAACTGCACAATCTTCATTAGTGCTAGTGTCATCAGAATCAAATTGAGTTATGGCTTCGAATGCCATTTCCATCAAATCTGCTATGTCAATTTCTTCTTCCGCTAATAAATCTTGCACGTCCTCAAGAGCCATGTCGGCAAAACCTTCGTCTCCGATTGATTTAGCAAGTTCTAATAAGCCACCAATTTCATTTTCTGATGATTAACACATGTTTTCTATTTCAACTGAAGAGGGTCATATTTCTTCTAACATGCATTTAACGTTGGTGCTTTTGGCTCTTTCAGAGACAAAGGTATGATCTCAATACAGTGCTGTCCTGTATGTCTTTCAAGCTTCCATTAGATTAATTGATTTTGAATCGGTTATATCTAAAATGTACTGCAGTGCTCTTCTTATGTAATATGTTTTAAAGGTATAAATAATATCTTGATCCAATGGTTGGAGTAATGAAGTGGTGTTAGGTGGTAGGAACAGTATTTTGACGCCGAAATGATTCAAATCTTGTGGGTGACATGGAGCATTTATATAATAGTAATAGGGCCTTGAAGCTCAAAATTTTCTTCTTAAATAACGTTCAACGTCTGGCACAAAATAATTTAAAAGCCAAGCTTTAGCTTTAAAATCAACGTCCTAGCAGCTTCATAATTAGCCGATGCAGATTCTCCTTAAATTTTTGTGCTATAAATTGCAAGACACTTTTTGAAATTTATGAACCAACCTTTACTTGCCACAAAATCTGGGTTGACAGAGGATTCTCCATGTTCTTTAAGGTGCTTGAACATTTTGAGTGCTTTTTGTTTAATGATATTAACACTCTCAATGGAATTATTTTTTGACAGCCATCAGCAATCCAAATGCTGAGTGCCTTTTCCATCTTCTCAATTATTGGCGCTCGGGGGTGAACTGCACGTTTTGTGGATGTCGAAGACCCTGCAACAACTGCAACAACTTCTTATTTCTTTTTTATTTTTCTTAATAGTCCGGACTGTTGCTTTATTCAAAGTAAAACTTTTTCCAATGTGAGATGCCTTTTCTCCTTTTAAAAGATGGTCTAAAATTTCTATCTTTACTTCTAAAGAAATGAATTTCCTCTTAAGCATTGTTTCTTTACCTCTGTTGAACATGTTTTGGGACTGAAACTTAATGTCTTAAAAATGAAAAAGTTATTCTTTAACACACCGTGACTAGACGCAGACTGCCGATAGCAGTGCGAGATACTTTTGTTTTCAGGGCACGGAGATGAGGATTCACATTTTGGAAGCCAAATATACAGGTTGTGCGTTTTAGAGCACTTACTGTGACCTCATGTTGTTCACCTTCTGCAATAGTGAAGTTTCTTCATTGTTATCTGGTGACTGTGCTCTCTTGAGACATGGGTACTGTTTTTGTTGTGCTACTGGGCCTTGAATGTCATGGAAGAAAACAATTTTCCTCCGTTACAGGTTAAGAATTTAACAGTTGCTCTCCACCATGTGGCTCGTCTCCCTGAGGGCACTTCTTATGAGTATCCGATTTTGGAAGACAACTAGTAGAACTTACGGAACAAGGATTTTTATGCGTTAAATTACTATATGGGTGCTTTGCTCAATATAGAAAATCTTCGTATGGAGTTCGCTAAATTTCTTCAGATTGTTTGGGCAATTTTCTTATCATGTTAGAGACAAACCATGTTGTTGAAGGGTTCTTGCAATTTATGAATCACGTTATAGCGAAACCGTATTACAGGATGCCATGTTGTAGAAGGGCTATCTGTATATAGAGTGTTTGCAGCATGTGGGGCTCTTAGAAGACATGCCAAGTTGGAAGTCCTCTCAGGTGGTTTGGTAGTAGAAGAAGAGAGGTAGGAGACACTGGAACCTATCCCCCGGAATATTCTCTTTCAACACTAGGGATGGAGTTGAGCAATAAGGTGTCAAAAGACCATGCTATCACTAGATGCAATATTCCATTCCTTATCATGATAAAATTTGTGAACTTTTTCTGATGTTACTGTCAGACATGCCACAACAACTGAATGATAATCCAAAATAAGTGTCCCAGTACTTTTTGTAACTGACAAGAAATGGTAATAAATTTGAAAACAGTGATTTCTTCAGAAACTAAGCTTAAGCCAGATGAATTGTAAATTTTGTAAACTACAATGCAATCCTACATTCACCCTGCCACACAGGATTTTAAAAAAAAAAAAAGCTGGATTTTAGATCTGACGTGTGGAAATTTCTCTTTTAATATCTAAGGTAAACCTAATAAACTCCTATACTTTAGTTAACTTTCCTGTGTTACAAACAATTTATTCTCTTTACATTTTAATTTGAAGTCTAGGTACTTTAAGAAACATAAACAAAAGGTAAAACTAAACTCATAATTTATTAATACTGCAACTTGTAAGCACAACTAAAATTCAACACGAAACTTAAATCAGAGCTATTTGTGGGTTTTGTGAATATGAAATGCATAAAGATTTAAAATACAATTGCATAGATTTAAAATATACAGAGTCCAGTTCTGAATGATTCACAATTTCTAAGCATGAATGTTACGAATTACAAGAAAACAAATCACGAAAACCAATTAAGAATACAGGTGGTCAGCTCACAAGAGAAACAGCAAGTACATTTCTAAACTGACTACACATTCAACTTGCCATTGAAATCTTCCTAACTTACATTCTAGCAAGCCTGATAGAAGAAACAGAAATTACAAAAAAGAATTAGCAAAAAATAACATGTAATTTAAATAAACCTCACAATTAATAATATATTTACTTATGAAAAATTGGTTTTGTATATTACGCTTTACAATTGTCAAAACTTAATCTATAAGACAACCTTTCAAACCATGAAGAATACTAAATTACCATATGAAATTATAATACCAAATCAAAATTATATACATAATGCCAAATTAAAATTCAAATCAAAACTCAATTATATATAAATACCAAATCAAAATTCAGAAGCAGCCAAACTGATGCAATACTGTCAAACAGTCTCAGAATTACATCTTAGATGTGGAAGTGAACTTCAAATCATTCATAAACAAGAGGAAAAAAATTGATAAACTCAACTATTCAGATTTAAAAACAAAGTGTGTTATTAAAATTATAAGTAAGCCATCAACGTATAAATAAGTTTAGAATCAGCTGATAACATTTATCCCTTTTTTTTAACACCAGATCCTAAAATCTGAAAAAAAAAAGAAAAAAAAAGGGAGGAGGCAAATCTGACTGTAAGGGACACCCTTTACGTTTCAGTAGCTCTTGATGATCAATTTTAATTGGCCATCAATGCTTTAAAACATAATTTAAAATGAGATAACATTAAAAAATCCCAGACAGCTTTTGTTAACACCAAAACTACAAGGAATGATTCTTTTCTTATGAAAATAAGAACAAATGTTAAATTAAGCCTTTATAACATAAATTTACATTGAAAATATTTAAAAAATGCTCTTACTTGTGGAAAAAGCGAGTGAAAAAGTTATATTTATATACGCATTTATTTTGACCATTGCATCAATGGAACACCCGCGGCTAATGGGTTAAAGTCTTGTCTGAAATATAGGGGCAGATTATAACTGCAACTACTGATGAATATTAAAGTATTGAGTAAGAAACAGATAATTTTAAAGACACTTTTTATATTGCAAACTGCTGTCTATTTACAATGCAATAATAAAAACTTAAAAATTAGCATCCCACAGTAAAAGGAAAACTGCAAAGTTATAGCTCATTTCAATAAAGTATGATTCAAAGCAACTATTCAGTGCATAACTTGGATTTATACATCTAGATTCTTTCATTCAAGATAAAATTTGCCTTTATTTAGAATGCATGCAACCTTCATCTCTATCTCCACAAATCTATTGGTGATGCCAATGGTTTTCATTAATTACCTCAAATTATCTTTACCTCAGTGAAACCGGCATTTTAATGCAGTTTATTTACACATTCATAGCCATCAAATGCTTTCACTGCTAATGTCTTACGGTGATTTGACAAGTATATTAATATCCTTAAGTAATACATAGCTAAATGAACAATTTAAATTTAATATAATTAGACATATAAATATGAGACAGAATTGTTTGACAGAACTTAATTAATCGTAATTTAATTAATTAATTATCGTAAATTAATCGTAAAATTCAGCTACTTATAAAATGGGCTCTTAAGTCATTCATTGTACTTTCTACATTAAAACAAATTAATTATTAGTTTTTCTTCAAAGAAAAGGATCTCCAATTCAAAGATAAAATAGAACACAGAATAATACTAAAAGTTCCAAAGAACAGGTTCAATACTATTTATTAGTTTCCCCGTTTAAACCCGAAAATACAATACAATAACAACACAATCCATTTTGGCGGCTTGAATAATTATAAAAAAGTTTTCAAGAATTATTTCTCTAGAAAGTCATAACTCTTTAGAGAACTGTTAAAGGAAATTTTTTCATATTTATGTTACACATAATGTAACCATGAAATGTTCTTGCAAATACTTATTTTTCAGGAGGAATTAAAGATATGAAGTACCTATTGATGTTCAATAGATATGAGTTAATCCGTCATTGATACATACAATCTAGTTTAATCTTCCAGACGCGCGCTTGGCAATTTTACACGAGCACGCACACGTCGTATTTTTTACGACATCCGTTATTTTACCATTTTCGGCATGAAAAATGACAGAAATGAGTGAATATTGATAATAAATTTGTTGAGAAATAAAATATCAATCTTATTATTGCAAAATACAAATGATATCACATTCAAATATAAGTAAATTATTTTTTTTAAGTTTCTTACGTTAATGAGATGGGATATGCAATGATGTATTTCATTATAGAAAATTTTAAATTTTAATAATTTTTAAATTTATAATAATTATATTTTAAAATTGAAGCTAATTTTAATATTCATCAAAGGCAAGTATAGACAATCTTCATCAAATAATTCTTGAAGAATGCAAGCAAATTCAGGTGGTTGCACATATTTTTTTTGCCATGAAAACCAATACAAAATTTACAGAGCCAAATGTATTCAAATTAAAATAATACACAGCAATGAATAACACAAAATTACAAAATATTTGAGGAAAAAATATTTTCCGAATTTTCGCCCGCGACCGCACACGTGTCATAACTTTCCTCTACAAAAGAATCTGGTTTGCTACCTTATAATCTGAAGGCAGAAATTATTTTCTTTGTTATTACGAATTATTTTAGTGGAGTTCAGAATTTCTGCTCTTACAACCAATGGAACCTTGTTTTGAAAAACAAACTTTAGATAAAAAGCTTACTATTTTTTAAGGTTTTAGAATTTACAGATGCACATTACAACAAAGTTAATTTAAAAATTACTAAGTGAAATATCAGTTTCCTGAATTATCTTTTAAGATAAAAATTTGTGAAAAAAGAAAACTAAGAGGCTAATCATACAGCCATCAATTCTAAAGCTTGGTGGTAGCCTGCTTGATATTTTGTATTACAAACATAGGCATCACATTTAAATACAGAGGAATATTTCACAGAATACAATAACATAAGAAATAAAAAAACTAAAACTAATATATGAAATTAAAATTAATAACCATTAACAACTCCTATTATTGGCACTGGTATTTTTCTGAGTCCGACCATTAATTCAGAGCATTTTGCAAATATATCTTCCCTAGTTTTTTGGTCAGCATCGGTCTAAAGAAAAAATAAATAAATCAATTATTATTCAACAATATTAAACAACAAAAAACATTTCAAATGAGCTTAAAAGTGAAAATGAAGTTAAAATAAATTATTCAGCATCAATAATTTAAAGTTGAATCTTTAGTATTTTTCGCAACACTGAAAACTGACAAATTTTTCATTCAAAAGTCAAAGGAAAAATTCCTATGACCTTATTTCAGAGATACAAGAGAAATTGTGTGGTCAATTAGAGCTAGAACTGTAAGAAAGAGATTTGTAGAAGTTGATTAGAAAGGCTGCAAAGCTGCACACCAGTCATGGTCCTTAGGAAAAAATTAAAGTACTGAGATTAAAACGGGGTTTATCACTCAAATACTTTAAAGAGGAAGAAATGACGAATCAAAGTTTCCCGGTTTCTGAGTAGGCTTTGTTTTGCTTCTGTATTGCACAAAAATTAGTAATTTTTAACACACATTAATTGGACAGATGATCAGTGGTCACAAGTTATATGGAGTGAAACTAAGATATCGTTATTCGGTAGTGATGGGTGAAAATATGTAAGACGTAGAATAGGAGAAGAGCTACATCCTGACTGCATTCAAGCAACTGTGAAGAACCCAGTTAGTGTTATGATTTGCTCATGCATGTCAGCAGATGGTATTGGTCGCCTTCATGTCATCGATGGGACACTGAATGCCAGAAAATACATTGACACTAGAACCAAAACTTCTACCTTCCATCAGAGATCTCTTTCCCAACAATGCTTCGTTTATTTTTCAGCAGGATTCTGCTCCTTGCCACATGGCCAAAATATCGAAAGAGTGGTTTCATACAAAGAGCATTAAATTGTTGTTATGGCCAGGAAACAGTCCTGACCTCAATCCTATCGAAAATTTGTGGCACCGTTTGAAAATTCTTGTCCGAATGAGGCGCCCATCCAATAAAAGGGAACTAATTGAGGCTATAATTGTTTCCTGGCATCATGTAATAACAAAAGAAGAGCTTAAAACTCTTGTCAGCTCAATGAAACATCGATGTGTAGCTGTAATCAAAAATAAAGGGTACCCTACTAAGTACTGATAACTCACTGCAGTCATCACTATCTAATGTATATCGATACCTATTATCGTTTAACTTTTTTGTATTGCAAATAATTGAATTTTGTGTTTTGTATTGAATTCAGTAATAAATTCTCTTTTAAATGCTATATACAAGTTTTCATTTTGTGAATCATAACGTTTTCTATAAGCATACAAAGTTCAAAAACATAAAAATTTCCAAAAGTGTCCACAATTTTGGCCTCCACTGCATAGCAGACAATGCCCTATGAAAAATATGCATTACTGAAAGTCACATAAATGAGCAAAAATACATTAATATTCTTGATGTGAGTCTAGAATCATACTTTTGGAAATCATTCGGTGACACAAACATAGATGGCATCAAGTTCAGCAGGGTAATTTCACCATGCCACAAACTGGTGATTTTAGTGCAGTGGGTTTTTCCAAATTATGTTTACAGTCAAAAGTCGTTAATTCGGACCTCAAAGCTAAAAACTTTCTGCGCATGCGCTGCGTTGGCACATGCGCACAGGCGTGTTACGCGGGCGCATAAGACCTCGACTACTGCGCATATGCGTGTGCGCAAGTGCAGAATACGTTTTCGCCTGCGCGTTTAATGTATAACGGACGGTGTAAGCTAAAATGATCTAATTATCTATTTCAGTTAATGTTAATGATTGCGTTGTTCCTTAATCTTCGAATTGGATCCCGCTTATTATTTTTTGCAGACTGTAAGAGCACTTTTATAAAAGTAAACTCGAACTTTCGATTATGTCAAATAGAATTTCCGATGCTGGAACTTCCAAAGGATCTACAAAACGAAAGTATGTTCGATGTCCAACAAACAAAAAGTGGAATTGCTGCAAAAAATGGATAAAGACATCAAGAATGTGACAGAGAGGTTAGTGAAAACGAAAAAATTTCGATTGACAAGTTAGTCGGTATTCTCGGCACGGCAATTAACGGGACTTGAACAGCGGAACTTTGTAACTGAACAAGAAATTATGTCTGTTTATAGAATTAAAGAGAAAGTATTATCACATAAAACGAAGCAACTTAAACAACTTGCATTGAAAGAAATGTTTAATAAAGTAAACAAATAAATATTAAGCTTTTTTTTTTTGTAAATTTTGATACCCTTTAGATCATAATTGTTCTTTATTGCATAAATTACGGTTTCATATTTTTAATTTTAGAATTTCTGCATGCCATCTTACGAGATTTAAACTGATGATCTGTAATCCGGAAAAATCGATAATCCGGAATCGCCGAATTCCCGACGAGTCCGGATTAACGACTTTTGACTGTATATTTTAGCCTGGCTACCACAGCCCATAGCAGCATTCTAATTTTTGATTACTGATGTGCAACTTTTTTTACTATAAGAAAAGACTGTGTGGCTTTTGTTTTTCATTCTTAAACATATTCTTATTTTTCATATTTAAGCTAATTCTATTTTTTAATCATTCATTATTTTCAAAAACATACAATTTTAAAAACTGATTTATTAATTATAAAAATTCATACATTAATATACGTAAACATAAGAAAATTATTTACTAAAATAAAGCTTAACTCTAATAATACCAATGATAGTGATGTTAAGATTGAGCAAAATAAAATAAATAAATAAATAATAATAAAATAAATCTGAAAACTTTCAGATTTTATATTACGCCCAAAAGAGAGTTTTTTTTAATGCCTTGTGTGCTACCTTTATTTATTAAATGTCATGTTTTCACACTTAAACCATAAATTTAGCAACATTTCAGCATTCAATTCAGCAACAATATTACAAAATATTTAAAAACAGCACATCTTTAGAATTTCTGATACACAGTCTCAGGCAATGGAGATAAAAGTTTCCGCCTCCCCCGGGAGTGTTGCCATTATTAACTTTGAATTTGTTGAGCTTGTAAATAAATAAAAAAAAAATTGTTAAAGTTTTATAAAATATGAAATAGATAATAAAACAAATTCCAAATTTGAGCTTTAAAATGTCCATATTCTAGTGAAAGACTACATTATCCAAAATTTGATGTGTCTTGGTACCATTGATTTTTCACAACGCGAGAAACATGCATACTTTCACGCAGATTCTTCATTATTTAATTTCTTTAAATATAATACAGGACTCTAATAAAGTGAAACACCATTTTAAAGTGGACTATGTAAAATGTCAAAATGAAATTAATAGCTCTTCTGGGCAAATTTCCCCTTTGGGCTAATAAATGCCTAAATATATAAAATAAATAAACGCTATATTTTCCTAAGAACAGAAGGTGCTTGTATATTTTTAGAACGATTTTAAGATCATACAATTAATACTCAAAATGCAAAAAGTATTGTTTTAAATGTTCTATCTGATGGTCTTTTTCCTGACTACAATTTCCACGATAGAAGAGCTTTTCATAAAACTTCAAAAAATAAGAATATTTTTAGGAAGCCTTATTCTTATTATTGTTATTTTATTGCATGTAATTGTTCCACTCAACTGCAGAACTTTCATGCATATTAAGCTGTTTATTACATCATTTCATGGACATCAACTCTTATGCCCAAGAATACATAAATCTAATAGCAGTGACGAAATGATATTCTGGAACCTTAAAACAAATTCTCAACATGGAAGCCCTTCTTTTTGCAATTTTTAACATTGCACCTCTAAATGTTTTCTTCATTAGCATAAAGTCTCATGTTGTAGCCATTTTCGCACACTCATTTGTCAGGTCAAAGATATCTTTCTTAAAAAAACTATATGGCATCCACCTCATTACTTGGTAAATTAAAGATTGTTAATATCATATTCACAAAAAAGAGCAATGAATATATGTTTTTAACAAGCAATGCAAGTTCGAAAATATCATCCAAAATGAATAATGCAAGAACATGGGGAGACAGCAGAAATGCAACATGCTGCTAATATCCAATTATGTGGTGAGGTATAAAAAACATGCAGCCAGATTTTGGTTAGATACCTTGGTTGATTGTTGATTCAATCTCGAAGGAGATAATAAAGAAGTACTTTTTATGTTATATATTTACTGGTAAATGTTACTCCAGGTTAATTTTATATAAAATTTAAAGATATACATGAGTTGTACATCACACACACATATATATATTAAATGACATTCTTGTATTAATTATCTACTAACATATGGAAATTTTAAAAGCTTCTTTGCTCAAGTGTAACAGAAAATTTAAACTTAAAGAAAAATGTTTTAACGATTCCTCTACTAAAAGTAATGACAGAAGGATAATGCTTATGAAAGTAATATATTTCAAGCTCTAATAGTTTTACCACTTTTTGATTATCCACAGAAACCCACTGAAATGTTTTGGAAAAGTAGTTATACAGTCAAAAGTCTTTAATCCGGATGTCCATAAAACGGAATGATCTATAATCCGAACCTCAAAGCTACAAACTTTCTGCGCATGCGCATAATATGTTTATGCATGAGCGTTTAATGTATAACGGACGGTATAAGCTAGGCTAAAATAATCTAATTATCTATTTCAATTAATGTTGCAGATTGCGTTGTTCCTTAATTTTCTAATTGGATCTGAGCTGCCAAAGCATCTACAAAGCGAAAGCATGTTTCGATGTACTGCTTCCGATAGTGAAGAAAGTGACAGAGGTTACTGAAAACAAAAAATTTCGATTGACTATTAGTCGGTATTCTTGACACAGCAATTACAGGACTTGAACAGTGGATCTTTGTAACAGAACAAGAAATTAGTCTATGTAAGAATTAAAGAGAAAGTATTCACATAAAACAAAGCAACTTAAACAACTTACATTCAAAGAATGTTTAATAAAGTAAAACAAATAAATATAAACTTTTTTTTTTTTTTTTTTTTTTTTGTAAATTTTGATACTCTTTAGATCATAATTGCTCTTTAGTTCCTAAATTAAGGTTTCATATTTTTTAATTTATAATTTCTGCA